GCTTAGGTGAATAGCTTAGAAATGTGCATTACTACATAAAGCAATATCCATATATACATATTACATGGACAATCATAGCCCAGTCTATGATTTTGAATAATGCCTAGTGATAATACTGGTACAATGATATTTTACTGTTGTGAAAAATATTTTTAATACATTTCTGTAGATTTATATGGTACTTTTGAAACCCATCTGGGATTTTCCTATTTCATTTTTCTTTGCCTTGATTTGAAATCTAAGACCATTTTACAAAGCTTTGAAAATGTTTCTGTTAGCTAAAATATTATCACTTAATAGCCACATAAATCTATAAATACTGGAGATATGAAGTGACCAATATTAACTTACAGAATTGAATTGCACAAATTTATCTAATACAGCTTAAAAGAGATACATCTAGAACACATTAGGATAGGAAAAAAACAGCAAAGAATCTAGGATGATGAAACTGTATAGCTAGAATTAAACACTATACTTTCAACTTCCGTATTAAACTAGAGTTTAGTGTAGTTTTTTGTTGTTACTTTTCTGGAGGGCCTCAGTCAGGGTTTATAATTTGATGGCATCCTCACCAAATCTATGAATCCACAAGGTATTACTCTCAGCCAGCTTTCAATATAAAATGTGTTTCCCCCTGCCCCTTGGGGTATAAGAATGCTAATGTGAAAACAAATTTGTATCCCAAAGCATTAATGTTTTCTACTCCCCCCAAACGTTTTGCGATTGACCTGTGAAATTAATACCCTCATTCTTATGTTAATAATACAATTATAGTCTAAAGTGTGCTGATGCAGGGAAAGTAAAAGAGGTTGCACATCATATTTCATCTCAAATATGAGACTTTCTACTCCATACTTTTCAAAACGCCCTTGTTATTTATGTCAATATCATCACTGCTTCTAATGATGGAGAAACTCAAATACACCGACATTTGACTTCAACACATGGCTCAGTGAATTAGAACTAGGAATTTCAGAAATCGGTATACCAGCGCATCTGCCCTCCTCACTGGGGAATCTAGTCTATTGAGGAGCCCTGTCAGATACAGCTCTCCATTTAAAACCTGGGCTTCCTGTTTTCAGGCCACAAAGCTAAATTCTTTTCCTGAAATCTCAAAAACAATCTGCCCAGTCCTCTTCTGTGAGCTGGGAAACATGTTCAACAGTCATGGGGGCTAGAGGCGAGGGAAAGCCTAAGCACATCCCAGAAAGCCCTCTCAGAGCCCAGGTGAGAAAGCTGTTGGGAACGCAGGTAGCCTAAGGAGGCATCTCCAGGCTTAGGAAACTTTCTCTGAACTGTGAGCAAGATCTGAGCTTAAGATTAGGGCACAATGGCCCAGTCTTCTCATGATTCTACAATTCCCATTGCTTTCCTCACCCCTGCCGAACAGATTCCAGCTGCTTTAGGGTGTCTGTCTGTGATTCTATCAGTTGTTCTTTTTCTATCAAGTTAGTACGCCCTATGTTTCATCCTCCTATCAGAATTCAAGTCTGGAAAGTGTGAGAGGAACCTAACACTGGAGAGTATTGTGGACTTAGGCGTGATTCACAGAGCTGGTGGGCAGGGCTATTACAAGCCACCTTTCCTTGCCCCCACCACTAATTCAGGCACAGAGCACCTTCTTTTGCCTGACTTTAGGAGGGTACCTGTCTGATGACTTTAGGAGGGTACCTGTCTGATGCATCTCTTATGCTCCTGTCTAGAGTATAGAGGTTGTCTCATAATAGTGACAGAAAACAGCTAATACCACCAGACCCATGCTTCTGATATTGATGATGACGATTGTGAGGTGATGTGAAAGGTTGTTCAATCTGCAGCTGTGTAGTCTTAGTGCTAAGGGATACTTTGTATCAATTATGTGTTGGGAATGTAGAATATTTGCTCAGCAAAATCATAGGGTATCCATAATGCCTAACATTGGGGGTATAGTTAGTGGAGGTGTGGCTTATCTATATTTTATTCATTTTATACAGCCGTAAGTATCTGGGTCTACATAGACAGGAATTTTTTCAGTACTTCTTTGTGACAATTTCTCCCTCTGATTTAAATGTTCCGTTTTTCTTACATTGTTGGTGGGAATACAAACTGGTCCAAGCACTATGGAAAGCAGTGTAGAGGACCTGTAGATTACTAAAAATGGAGTACCATATGGCCCAGTAATTCTACTCCTAGGAATCTACTCAAAGGACACAAATACATTAATTCAAAAGGAAACTGGTGTTCCTATGCTTGTTGCAGCACTGTTTATAATAGTTAAGATGTGGAAATGATTTAAAGCCAAGAACAGATGTCTGGATCAAAAAGATGTGATATATATACACAGTGGAATACTATTCAGCAATAAAAAGATAGACTCATGCCATTTGCAGCTTGAAAGGATTATGCTCAGTGAAATAAATCAGAAGGAAAAAAATAATCGGATGGTTTTATTATAGAAGGTACATAGGGAACCTGAACAAAGTGTCAGAGAAAAAAAGAAGGCTAGCAAACAAGTTATAGATCTGAGACATCCAGCAGGAAAGAGAGTGGGAGGAGGTCACAACAGGGGAGAGAACACAAGGAATTGGGGATGGATCGTGAAGGAGGTGGTGGTGGGAGATTTATGCGGATTACACCTGAGGGGAAGAAATCAAATACTGTACAAAAATGAACAATGCTGGTAGAAAAAAGCCTAAATAAGTAAATATAAAATGTTCTCTTTTTTAATCTTTCTTGTACTGAACAAAGGTTCACCAGCTATGGTCTTTCTTTGCCAAGAGCTGGACTGAATTTCTAGCTCCTGTTCAGGTGAAAAGCGATTGAGCTATCACTTTGTCACCTTTTATTCTTCTGCAGGTTAAAAGTTCTTGAAAAGTGATATAGAATATAAGTGAGCTACAACAACGACAAAAATACCAATGCTAAAAGGGAAGGAGGTGGGAGAAAGCTTTGAGGATGTTCTCCCTTCATGTACTATTCCGGACAATCTAACCCAAATTTGATTGATGTTCTCTTCTACTTAAAATCAAAAAAGTTGCATGCTCTATCATATAACCCAGAATCCTGCTGTGAAGTGTTGGAAAATTTGGAGGATTATTCCCCCAAAAATTTTATTGCAGTCTACATTGCATTTCTACATCCCAAGAAAATAATTATAACTCCTTTTATTCCAGATCTCTAAATATATGTCAAAGTCAGAATGTCAAGTTCCCTATAAGATGAGAGAAAATATGAGAGGGAAGCTATTTAAGTTGTTTCATAGAGAAATACAGCTGTTTATCTGAGATGAGTTGAGAAAGAGTCTGCGATTATCCCCACATTATGTGGAATGCTTGACCTCCAAACAAGGGCAGGGCATGTGACCGCACTTACTATGCTGGAACTCTACCCGTGACTCGAGAGGGGCAACCATAGGCTTTATATGGCCAGGAGATACTAGCCAGGAGGTAGTAACTATCAGAGCTTTTTTATTCACTCTTGAAATAGATTTGTATTTTTTTTTCATTTTATTTCATGAACACCAAAGTTGTTAAAAGAAAATGTTCTTCCCCTTCAGGTCTAGATCAGGAAAAGCAGATCAGAATCCCACCCATATTTGAACTAGGAATACATTCAATAAATCAATTAATTTATGCCCCAGAGCCATTAGAAATGATAAATTATGCCAAGCCAAGTTTTAAGAAAAATAATTTGGCCTCATACTCAAGACATAACTGCTTTTTGCCATATTGATCAAAAAACACTATATAAACAATTCAGGTATAAGCTACCTGAAGCAGGGAATACCAGCTGCATAAAAGGTTAAAAGAAGCATGAGTTTTAGAACCTTGGATTGGTAAACACTCAATTGAGAGACAGGATTTGGGATTCCCAGCCAGGCTGACATTGTAGGAAAACAAGGGAACTAAGTTGAATCCAGGATGGTGATTTTTGTATTTCAGAAAATAGAAGACAAAACCTCATGACTGGGGCTGTTATATAGGACTCCATTGTGCAAGGAACATCTAAAACAACATTTGCTTGGTTCTATTCGGCCTGCTATATGAAAGGTAAAATATGAAATCACTGTACTTATCTATGTTGCTGGCTGCCCCACCAGATGGCATGCCTCTGTGCTTCAGTATTCTCAGGTGAAAGGTGACATTCCTTGTCAGCAAAGGGCAAGTAAGGAACCCCTTGAAAACGCTCTCCACAGATATATCTGAAAAGCCTCAAGTCGGCTCTTTAATGAATCTGAGCTATTCTACTTAATCTCTTTTCAAATCGGTGCCATCCTTTGCTCATGAACAAAGTTGAATTTCTCCTAAAACAATGAAAATATATAACAAAAAATGTATAAAGAAAAATGCTTCTCTAGAGACATTTGCTACCACTGAAAGAAAAAGGAGTGGATATCATTTCACATATAATTTATATTAAAGAAAACATCTGGCATAAGCCTTATGAAAAGTTTGCATTTTCCTCGAAATTATAAATAAAAAGATGTTTATCTAAAATGCCTTGAGAAATTAAATACTCAAGGTGAAGATTGATTTTAGCGTGAAAGACATTCACAATGACTGTAACTTCCCATTTGATTCACAACTTTTTTAAAGGAAAGAATGACCACGCTTACTTTAAATGAGTTCTATCGTATAAGGTAAAAGAAGCTAAGCTATGCCACGAGGGATGAACTAGGAAAGCAAGATCGTATGAACCCTGTCCAAAAAAGAATTGTGGGTGATATTAACTGATAATGTGAAATGTGAGAGACAAACTAAGCAGAATGTACATCAGCTGTCAGATTGCTTCATTCCTTTAGAGCAGTTGTTCATCTGAAAATAGCTTCCAAATGAGAAAGGATGACTGAAAAAGATCAGTTACTATAGGCTGTTCTACCTCCCCCTCCCAGCTCCAAGTCTGTTACAACAGAATGGCAAGAATCAAGAGGAAGTAAAGTAGAGAATATTAAGTAACAGCAGGAAGAGTCTATATTCATGCTGAGCTACATTAGTGGGAGGAGGGATTTTTATTGGTACCATTTCCATGGATTTCCTTCATGATGGCTGATGCTTGCTGCTTCCTCTGCTTCACCATGGTACTATGTGATAGCATGGCTTTTTTGGTCTCCTGTTAAAAATAAAGGAGCATTATTGAAGCAGTGTGAACAGCTCATTCGGAGTGTATTATAATCGCCCTATTGAGAGTGTGTGTGTTCTTCAGTAAGACTTTATTATTGCTCTCTACTGAAAGACTGGAGTACACACTCCCTGTATGATGACAGAGCCTGGTATTCATCAACAGACAATGTCACGGTGGACAGAGGATGGCACCGAATGTCCCAGGTAGGGCTGATCTATATGCCAGTGTAGTGATCTCCAGGCTGGGAGAGATCATGGAACCACTAGCATCCTTTGCCCTCCTACTCTCTTTCCCCCCATTTATTTCACTGCCATTGTTTTCTCATTGGCACTCACGTGTGTACCAATATTATAGCACATCAGTTCCAACAAACTGTCAGAGTGAAGAAAGAACCCCAGATTAAACCAGAACTCTTCGGTGGTGATGTTTTAATACAGGCATCAACAGCTAGCTTTTAAAGCAAACCGTGTCCACTAATGAATCACGACTCTGCACTTCCTGGGACAGCTGACTAATAAAATATTTTAGGAAGCAGTCTACTCACCTTGCTCTCTGACTGTGCTTTTCAGCAGGGATGAGTCTCAATTTGTGGAGGAAAGACTGAAGATGGAATATGATGGCACTTGGGCCCGATGGTTTTTATCCCTGAGCCTGGGACGGCATGGTCCCCAGTTCTGACTCAAACTGGGGACTGAGCCTTTCTGAAGAGACTGGCATCCAGCTGACATCAACCGACTATATATAGCTCCAAATACTTCAGCTACTCATATCTCCCTGGCGAAAGGGAGGACCCGAGAAAGATTAGGTTCTCTCCATTGTGTTTCTAGTGTGTGAGATGGCTGAATGAACATACAGAAAGTTGTTTTTTTTTTTTTTTGGAGTGGCTTTGGTTGGAAGAGATAGTAGCCAAAGGAATTTGAAAACTTCCTAGGATGTAGCTCTGATGCTACATCTAGTGGAAGTGGCAAGAGACACATGATTTTGAACAGAATAATAGATAATAAGAATTAAAATTAAAGTACAGGCAAAAGTAGTCATTTCAAGAAGAATAGAGTATTGGGGGTGTTTGAGTAGAACCATTCTTTCAGCAGGGGAACTTATCCCGTTTTCCAGAAAAGGTGGGCAATATCTGAATAGTGAAGTGGGCCGTGAGTTTTGAAGTGAGCAGTCGAGGCTGAGCCAGGAAGTCACCTGAGCAAAAGCTGAGTCTCATCCATGGGTCAGGGTTAAAGACCCTGTAGAGCGCAGCCTACACAGTTGACCTGTCACTGTGGTCCAGACCAAGGATTCCTGCGGGGAAGATGGTTAGGGCGGTGTCTTGCTGGTCTTTGAACACAGAAGCATGTTCCCACTTCTGGGCATTTCTTTTCACTATTTCCCACCTGCTGGAACATGCTCTCCCCCAACTCACACAGCTCCCTGTCTAGGTGGCCAAGACTGTGCTAAACTATTGACTCTTTATGACACCTGTTTACAATATCAGGGTTGCAGTTCTCCAGTCCCTTACTGTGCTTCATTTTCCTTTGTATTTTTCAACTAAGTTAAGATGAAAGTTGAATGGGAGTAACAGAAAAACCTCCCACAACAAAAATGTTGAAAAGATGGAAGTTTGTTTTTCTCATACACAAACCTAGGCCCGAAATAAGAAATCTAGGATAGGGTAGGTGTGACTGATACAATCACCAGCGGCTCAGTTGCCTTCTAGCTAAAATTTTGCTCCATTATTCCTAAAATACAGAGCTCTTGGGCCTAAATGGCTGCTCCAGTCAGCTCATTTACATTTCAGTTAGCAGAAAAAAGAGAATGGAATGAAAAAGGGACTGTCTTTCCTTCAGAACATGTCCTGATTTTGCTCGACCTCTTTTAAGCATAGCTATTCATCATTCAAGAGAGGGTAGGAAACTAAGCTTTATTCTGGGTGGCCCTGTGCCCACTGAACATCCAGATGTTATCTTCCTGACCAAAGAGATAGTAGTGACAGGGTTGAAGATCTCAGATTTTGCCACAGGAACATATCAGCATGTCTCTTTATCTCTCTGTTTATCGGTCTGTCTGTCTGTCTATCTATCTTTCTATCTCTCTATCTATCATCTCTATAATCTATCTGGTATCTCTTTTTCCTACTAATTTATGAATCTCAGAAGGACTAGGACCTTGTTTATCTTCAGCAGCAAGAATTGTCTCTAGTATACAATCGGCACTCACTAGTCACTGAATTAATGAATAAATGAATCAGTTGAAAATTAGTTGTGGAATCCATTAAATGCTTGACACAAACTTGAAATGCTCTTCCTGTTTCCCCAAACACTAAGGAAAAAATAGGATTGTAAAAAATGGTCACTTGAGTATAAGAAGACAGTGATCACTAATAGAAGTTGGTCTGTAGAAAATTGTTATATAATTTTGTGCCTGAACATAGGGGTGTTAGTTTAAAAGAGGTTTAAATTAACCTATTACGATTGCTTATAAGCAAATGTTTGCATTGAAATTATTAAGTACCAATGAGAAGTAACATCTAAACAAAACTAATGAATTTAAATTCCCTCTCTAGAACCACAATGCACCTATGCTCCAGCCTTAAGCATTTACTGTAAGGCAAAGTCTCTCAAATTTGTAGTTTTCTCACCTGTAAAAAGGAGATTACAGTGTCTACCACATAGAATCAGGAACATTTTCATGTAACAACTTTTATCATACTTAATAAAAGTTTAGTAATATTTCCTGCAATATGAATGGGTTTAGATCCTTAGAATAATCAACTGATTTATTCAGTAAAAGTAGAAATATATTCAGGAAACCAGTTTTCCTACTTGCTCACCTTCACGCATTTCCAATTTTGCATCCGGTATAGGCTTACATGTTGACACAGCGTCTTCAGCAGACAATAATAATTATATTAACTTTTATTTCTGAAATGAAAGGAGTATTTTTTTATAGTTTTAAAGAATGTAATAATTTACTGCCTTATTTCTTCAGTTATACTTAAAATTGTTTTACCTTGTTCCTAAGCCCATTTATAAATTTCTCTGATAACTTTCTGATTTATTATTTGTTCTGAAAAGTAAAACAAGTCACTGGTATTGAAAGTTTGAATCAGAGATTGTGTTATTATCAAGCACTTTCAGATGGCTCATTCCCAAAGTCCATGCATTTAAATTTTAAAATTGAGGCCCTCTCTGGTGCAGTGGGTTAAAGCACAGCACTGAGAAGCTAAAACCGCTTCCGCATGAGTTCGAGCCCCGCCTGCCCCGGAGGTGACCACATGGCGTGGCAGACCTCTCCTGACCCGCCCGCTGCTCCCCTCAGCAGTGTACCTTGAAGATTTGCCTGTTCTGCTCCCCCCTTTTTTCTGGTGAATCCTCTCAGCGCCCCTGCACCTCTGGCCTATATCCCAGTTCTGAATGCACACATACACACACACAAATTAAAATTGAGTCACAGTTAATATATTTCTATATCATTTGCACAGAGATCTGGCTTTGGATAAAATTTCCTTCCATTTGCCACATACTGGTATCTCTTTGTCTGAGGCTCTGTCCTCACATCCTAAGACCAAGACAGTCCTCCGCCAGCCCTGACACACGGACACGCTTTGGGGGTAGTCTAGAGTGTGAGATACACGGGAAAGGGCCTTTCCTACCCCATGTGTCAGGCTCACTTATGTGCTACCCACCCACCCGGCCCCGTGAGTCTCTTTCCTAACCCCAGTATAAGCAGAGTAGTGTTTAATCTTTCCGTGAAGGCCCTAAGTATTTTAAACTAGTTGGTGATAAAGAGAAAAGATGTCCCTTTTCTTGGAAGCAAAAATAATGGGATTTTAATGCTAGAACTGGTGCCCAGAGGTTCACCAGGAAGAGGTTTGGGGGAGAGCTTTTTAACCTTCTGGAATCAGATTATTTCCATTGCCACTGTTGTAGCTCCAGCTTCTTCAACATTTGCTAAAAGAGGGGGGAAAAAGATTAAATAAAGAGAATCTTATTGCCAATATCTAGCAAATACTAACAAAACCCACACCACAAAGACTGTGAAAGGCAACCTTATTCGCCCAGTGGTAAACACAGGCCCTTCAGCCAAGAGGTAAACAAGGCCCCCATTGATCTCCCTCTAACTAAGTCCTTGTGTTTTAATTCCGTGTTTCTCCGTGTCCCATTTTCCATCCATATTAGGTGGCTGTGGGTAGTCAGCGACTAAGGCAGGATGTGGGAACACTCAGGGTGTGGGGACTCGGTGTGTGGTGGTGGACAGACAACAGGGCACCAGAATGGAGGGCACACACAGGGGAGGCTGGAGGACGGCTGCCAGGCCAGCTCCCAGTGTCGAATGAGGGAAGGTGGGCCCTTCCTTCCCAGCTTCAGAGCCTCAGATGTGGGGCGAACGCTGGGGAATCCGGTGAGACGACAAGTGTGTAGACAGCACGAGCAGGCGAGACTGTCCGTGGAAGCGCGGGCTTTGCTGCTTGCATTCTCCATGACGGCGAGTTGACTCGCTGAGTCTTCCGTGGTTTCTATTGCCCTGTATTGAGGGCCTTATAGTTGATCCTCTCCCCATGCTCTGGCAAGGGCAGAAAAGCGACAAGCAACCCTGGAGTGATCACACTAGCCAGTCAGGGGAGGCCATACAGCACAGATGGATGAGCTTGGAACTGGTCTTGCAGTAAAGGACTAAAGGCACCAGTAGTGTTAAGTGGAAACGCTGTGGTGGCCATTTAGTTCATGTTTGTTGCGCACTGCCCTAGTTTTATAGCCGGACAGGGAAAATGTGGTTCTGAGACATTAAGTAAAACCCCAAACGCAACATGAAGGCACATAACAGGGATGGATTTAAGAACGGGTGCTGTCTGGTCCAAAGTATTTCCACTCCACCGGGTAGAAATCTCTACTTTTCTAATTTCTGAACATCTTTGTGTTGCTATCTTCACAAAAAGATAAAGAAGCCAAGTGGAGAAGGATCAGAATTATTTCAATGTGCCCTTTATTGATTCTCTTCGGAATTGAGCAGCCCGATGCCAGGTTGATTTTGGCAGAGATAATTTTTCCTTATGGCCTTTGTGGTTCTTTTCCAACTCCTATTTTTCTGGTTTGCAACCTTCTAGAGTTCCTCCCAGTGTCTATTCTCGCAGTGCTTTTCTTTCCTTCAGCTGTGCAAATACTGAAGTTATTAAAATGTTGAGCATAAACAAATGAAACATGTGTCACTTGCTGCACAGACCTCTCCTTCCTCTCCTGGCCCGTGAACCACACACACAAATACACTCACCACCTCCACTGCCAAAATAAGGCTCACATCCAGCCCTATGAAAATAACCCATTTATAGGCAAGCCCAAGTGTAAACCTGTCTTCCTCAGCGAATTTATTTCTTGTACTTAAGCATTTCCTTCTAGGGTCTTCACTTAGGCCTTAAGGTAAACTGGGGAAAATAGGACAGGTAAACAGTCAGTGACCAGCTTGTCAAGGACAGATGCACATGTAATAGGGTTAGAATTTGGAAAGAAAATTTCATATACAGAAATATTAGGAAGAAAGTTGCCAAAACAAACCCGCAAGTCCTTTTTTGCCTTGGCTTGCTTCGTCCCAGCACTAATCCAGAACTTTGTCACATTTCCTTTGATGATTCCAGCCAGCCAGTATTTTTCCTGTATCTACAGAAGCATTTTCTAGCAGTTTTCTCACCTACAAGAAAAT